AGAAGACTCGCTTGAGCCCAGGAGTTGGAGGTTGCTGTGAGCTGAGATGCCACAGCACTCTACCCAGGGGGACAGCTTGAGGCTCCTGTCTCAAAAAAAAAAAAGAGAGAGAGTGGGAAATCTCTACTGTTTCTAGGAACTACTAATCATACTCAGGAGCAGTCCAGCTGGGCTTCTTGGGCCTTGGTTGTAGTTACTACAGAGTAGTTATCAATCTCAGAAATCCTACAAACAGGGGTCAAGTTAGGAAGAGGAACCAAGGCCTCCTTTGCTTCAGTTTGGGTCATAAAATTTCTACAAAAAATGTGTGAGTATATACATGTACACATTCATGAGCTTGTCCTTGGTCTTAGAACTGTAAACACTTCCCTGCTTGGAGCTGCCCAGGAGGCTGTGTGTACCAGATACTCAAAAGTCCAATTTACCACTTTATTGTGTGGCACTGCTTTTCCCATGTAACCCTCCAATCATCCAGAGTTCTCTAGCCATGTTTATCAGAAGTCAAGGGAAAAGTCCATTAAGGCTTTCTGACCCCCTTTTCTCAAATACAGGACAGGGCTCATAAAATTTGAGTCCTGAGAATTAACAATTGTCTCTTAGCTGGCTGTAGTGAGAAACTTTTAAAAGCGGCAGAGGTTCCTGGAGAGGGCACAGATCACAGAGGCTGCTTCAAGTAGGGATGGACAGGTAGAGATGTCTGTTGATCTTTCACTCTGCAAACTGGTCCAAGAACTTGAGGTAGGCCTGGCGCTGGGATGCAGACACTGGAATGAAGTGGCCACCAGAGTGGGTGAGGGTGATGGCTCCAGGGAATCTGCTTGCCAGATGCATACTCTCCTGAGAAGGGATGACTCGGTCAGTGTCCCCAAAAACATGGAGTGAAGGCAGTGACAAAGGGCCCTGCAGGATGGATTCCTTCAGGCCAAGGCCTCGGGGACAGAAACCAGACACCAAGATGATAAATCTCAGCAAAGGGAAGCGGGGATCTCCGGCCTGGCCCAGGGCACACACAAGGGCTGCTAGTGCAGCACCCTGGCTGAAACCAAGGAGCCCATCAAAAGGGCCTAACTTGTTCAGTGCCTGTGCCACCGTTTCCAGGGCTTCCTCCAGACCCCTGCACACTGTGGGCTCTTCCAGTGCTGAGAAAACATCTGCCTCCTCTGAAAACCACCAGCCTCGAGGCTGCTCCTCCGAAGGGCAGGGCCCTGAAGCGAGAGGAGAAGGAAATAAGATTAAGAAAAGGGGGAGAGTGGGGGAGAAGAAACGACAAGAGGAGGGAGAGTTTGGGAATGACAGGGAAAAGAGAGGGTACTGAGGGGAAAGTCTGGGGGGAAAGCGGTAGGGAATACATGAACTGGCGACCAGGGAAGACAGATGAAGGTGGAAGTCGAAAGGGCAAGGGAGCAGTTCAAGCCAGAGAGGCTGAGATAGGAGAAATGCAGGGTGTGGGCTGGGCTGAAGGAATGAGGGGAGAATACAAGGCGGGAGTATACTGAGGGGTGTTAATGGGAACAAGCAAGACGGAAAAGAGTGCATTTCCGGAGCAGGGCTCATCTCACCGGAGTCTGGGCCAGCACCCTTGGGGCCCACCGTGTTGGGGACGGGGTGCGGTCCACTGAGGCACACGAGCTCGGCGCGGCCCCGCAGCGCTTTCCTCAGTGCGCCAGTCTTCTCGCGGAAGCCTAGCTCACTCTGCCGAAAGCCCGCCAGACACAAAACCCGCAAAGGCCGCTTTGCGGCCATTCTGCCCGGCAGAGTCACAGAAGCACCGGAAGCAGTCTTTCCCCGAGCGGACTTAGAATTATAAGAGGGGCGGGGCCAAGAGCCGGCACCACCCTGAAGGCGGGCCTTGGAGCGAAAAGACGTCCCCATGACAACGGGGCCAGGTAGTGATCAGCCAGAGCTGGGTGGGTACCTGGAACCAGAAGCGTCTCAAGGAGCGAGCGGCGCCATCTTCTCGTCTCTGCAGCTGCAATCCTCGCAGGCCACGGCTAGAGAGGGGTTCGTGGGCTCCTCCTGTACGTAAGGTCGCAGACTTTGATCAGGCTCTCGCTGGGGCAATGTTCCAATCCACTCCCGTGCATTTCCTCTCGCAGCCGTAGGGCGGCGGCATCGGCTCAGGTAGCCAGGGAGGCAGCCAGCAACAGGGAGGTGCCCAGGGGAAGCCTCTGCCCATGGAAGCCCCGCCTACCTTCCCCAGTACTAGCCGACCCCGGGCCTGTTGGGGCCGGTCGCGTCCATGGTTCACCGTCCAAGGCCCCAGGGAGTTGCCGGCATAGAAGTCCATCGGGTAGGGCTGCTGCCAGGAAATGTCCCTTAGGGCCACAGCCGCCTAGGAGTGGAAAACCGGACAATAACACTTACCCACGTTTTTCTATGCCTGGATTACTGAATTCAATTGTCACAATAGCCTATGAAAAATTTATTATGCCAGGCCACACGGTGGCTCACGCCTGTAATCCTAGCATTCTGGAAGGCTGAGTTGGGTGGATTGTCTGATCTCACGAGTTCCATACCAGCCTGAGCCAGAGCGAGACCTCGTCTCTAAAAATAGGCGGGCGTTGTGGCAGGCGCCTGTAGTCTCAGCTACTTAGGAGGCTGAGGCAAGAGGATCACTTGAGCCCAAGACTTTGAGGTTGCTGTGAGCTGTGATGCCACAGCACTCTACCAATGGCAATAAAGTGAGACTCTGTCTCTCTCTCTATATATATATATGTATAATATATATATTACATATATATTGTATATGTAATTGTATTGCATAATTGTATAATTGTATTGTATATATTGTATATACGTATATTCATATGTGTATATATGTATAATATATGTATATTACATATTATATGTAATATGTAATAATATATGAGGATTATACATGTATTACATAAATATAATACATGTATAATCCTCATATGTATTAATGTACTACATATATATAATCCTCATATATTATTACATATTATATATAATATGTAATATACAATACATATTGTATACATACATACATACATATATATTCCTCACATCATACAAGGGAAGTGTATGGCCCAGAGAAGTTAAGGGACTTGCCCAAGCCCACACAGCTAGGGAGTGGCTCAGGACAGAAGACAGTTTGACTTCAGGATCTATGAAGATTAACTACATGCTGCCCACCCACCCCATTCCACTTCAGAGTCCTCCCTTAAGAACTAGGTGCAAGGCCCACTCCAAAACGTGGTGTTACCTCATAAGGTGTCAGCAGTGGCTTGGGGAAGGCTGTACCCCAGTCAATGGAGAGACGTGGACATGCCACCTGCACCCACCTGGGAAGGAAAGCTAGGTCAGACCATAAGTGGAGGTCTCCCCCTCTTCTGGACAGCATGCTGAAGAACATGACAGTGTTCCAAATACACCCATTAATAGAATTTATTCCTAAAGTAAAGACTATCAACTACTGCTGTTTGGAATACCATATTTTTGCTTGTTTTCTCTTGTCCCCTCCACTGACTATGAACTTTTTAGAATAGCTCATTTGTGATAGTATCCCCAGAACCAAATTTAGTGCTTGGTACAACTCTTGTCAACCACCCCCCAACTCAAAATCACACAGCACAACTGTGATGTTGCCATTGCCTCTGAGCCCCAATGACAGACAAAGCAGGGATCACCCATAGCAAAGGATAACCCCTGCTGGGTAAATGCTCGGTAAACATTAAAATTTTATGACCATGGGAGCAATTCCCATCGATATGTGCAGGGCAGGACCCAGCTTCTAAGCTTCTTTAGCCACAGTCACAGCTAGGTAGCTAAGGTGAAGAAACTTACACATCCACCTCAGGAAGTAGGTTAAGCTTGCTGGGGAAGATCTCAGACAGCAGCAGCCTCACAAAGGGAAGTCCCAAGGCTTGGAGCCTAGATTCCAGATGCTGTTGGGAAAAGGCAGAGCTAGGTAGACCATGGATAACCAGCCAAAGTTAAATCCCTTGGACCATTTAGTTTTCCAGCTGGGTTTCCAATCAGTTCCCTCCAGAAGCCATCCCAAGCCCTCTGACCTCCAGGATCTTGGGACTGCCCTGGCGGCCCAAAGTGCCCAGAATAAGGCCCCAGTATTTAGCTGATCTGGCAGTGGCTATGGCTTCTTGACGAGCAGCCTGCATACGCTGGTGGTCATAGTGCTCTCTGGACAGGACTTTACTATATGGGTCGTACCTAGAAAAGAAGATGCTAGTGTCACTGTGATAGCCACTCTCAGGACTCCTGCTGAATATACAGCTCTTGACTCAGCCCCTTGGGCTCCTGAAACTTCAGGCCCCATGGAGGTAATTAGGAACAGAGGCAAGAGCAGGGATACTTGGGAAGATCCATCCCACAGATGGACCAGAGAACAGTTGGAAAGGGTTTTAGGACCTCAATGTGAATCCCAAGGGATGGGTGGGCAACAGCAGACTTGGGTCTAATGCCCAGATCTTTTTTTTTTTTTT